ACTGACACTTAAAACGCAATAACTTCACTTCCAATCGATGAAATGTCATGAAATTCTCACTGGACAATCGATAAAGATAGCAGATTCTAATGCACCAGTCGACATATAGAGAGCGCCACCAGGGGGCGCTAGATTCAAAAAGCTGTTCCTGTTTATTTTGGAACGCACCTTGTACATCAACAAACATGATAAATTGATAAATGTTGTCTATTTAGCCATTACAGCTCAAACTATCTAAGTATTTAGTTTCCAACTTAAATAAACCTTATTTCGTTCAACTCAGTCAGGAAATGTTTGCATGTGGTCTGACTCCAAATTAGAATAGTTTCTTAGTGAGTATATGAAATGCATATCTAATGTGTTTTACAGCCAAACGGCGTTAACAAGATATGCAGCTTCAATTTCTTATTTATTCCTGCATTTTCAATTTGCAGTTTGAATGAATTTCTGCAATTCGATTTCCCAAAATGCGTTACTGAACTGAATTTGATAATATTTATACATTTGTGTAAATGTGAAACTATAATCAGATCAATAAGCAGAACAGCATTTTAATGTTAACATAAATATAGCATTCAACAAATATTTGTAGTTAAACGTCTTATTTGCAAATAAATGTGTTCATAGTTTCATAGAAATTTCTATGTCTTGGAATTGCTTATATAAAGAATATCTCCTAAGATTGCTTCTCTTATGGCTTTGGAAAACTTCGATATAGTCGAGTCTGCATTTCAATGAATTCGGTTTTGTAAATTTAATTAATTTAATTGAATTCAGAACAAAACAAACTACCAATCAACTGTGAATTTGTGCGAAATACAAATATTTCGTATTTCAATTATTGGTAAATTAGTTTTGGCTTTCAAAACCAAATTATTTAGGCATTGGGCTGCCAGTTGGAATTCAATTTACTTTCTTAAATAATATCGACTGTAAAATTGCTTTCATCGGTAAATAAAGCCATTCAATGTGGGCTTTCATTAATAAGTTACCTTTTTATTGAGTACTCAGTGAAACGCTGAAGTGCAAGTCATGTAACCAAAAGTGTTTGTTGTTTAAGCTTAACAGCATTAACCTAAATGAAAGTTGGCATTAATATCAGGCTCATAAAATGTTTCTTTAAGTTACACAAATCACTTTAAAACCAACAGATTTCGCACCATACTCTCAGACATTATAAGTACGTATGTTCTTGGAAATTAAAGATGCTGGGCCTCCAGCATCCTTGTCCATTGTGCTGTCTCAGGAACTGTCGTCCGTTCTGCCACGCGCCACTGAGCGCACGTCTTATGCGCGTCTCGGTGCTTTTAAGCGCTATTAAGCATACAATGCTTGGCTCGGTTCTGCTCTGCTCTGCTCTGCTCTGCACTGATGGCTCGGCATGGGCATTCATATTTTATTTATTTGCCATTACACAATTTATTTAACGCAGAATTTTACGCTACGGCTACGCCAGCGCCAAATGCTTCTTACTAAATAGTTTTACGATTGCTTGCAATGTCTGTGGGCGGCAGTTGAAAATTTATGCGCTAGCATCCTTAGCATAGTCCTCGCTCTCCTCGCCTCGGCGTCTCGGCCTTTTTGGCTTCATGGCATCTTGTCTCGAGTCAATTTGTTCCCATCTTTCCGGTGGCAGCGCCAACGGCTTCTGTGAAGACAGACAGCAGAGCAAATAGGCGGTGTGGGGGTCACAGAGCTGGGCTGCTTGTTGCGTTCGTCCCGAAAATGTTTACACTATTTGCTTGCATTGAATTATTTAAGCTAAAAATTTGGCCGACAGCAGAGCACCGAGCACCTCAAGGAATTATAGAAGCAAGTGTGGGTAATAAGCACGCCAGCGATGAATGTCTGGCTTGTTTGTGAGTTAGAAAGATACTGGTGCCACTTCTAAGTGAGTATCGTTTCATTTGAGATGTTTCCATAGAATCCAAAATGTACCGCAGAATTACTTTGTAGTCTGTTTCCTTTTTGTGACTTCCTGCCATTCCAGCAGAGAGTGTTTCCATTTTCAAAAGCCTTTCGATTGTTTCGAATTGCGAGTGAAACCTCTTGATTGCTTCAAATTCCAGCTCAAGAGCATATTGTGAGTTTGTTGTTAATCGTTTCTAGAGTGCCAATGAAACACAATTTAAATTAAGTATAGTATGCTTAAAGCGTGTAATTATCCAATTCATACACTTCAGAAAATAGACAGTAATTACACATAACACTTCACTTCAAATGCTGGATGAACAAAACGGTTATTGTGTTGAATGGGAAGAACTGTTGAATTTCAGAATTTTATTGTCTGCTGACAGATTTGAATAGTTGTAAATTTAATAATAATAATTGCTTAACAACAAATAAATTGAATAACATAAGCCGGTCACCATGTCGGACGGGCGGAGATTTAATGATTTTATTATTAAGTGATTAAGCTGCCTTTGTTTTGCTCTGTTTCTTTATTTGAGTTTAATTCAATTACTTGATTTTTCAACAACTTTATAAGTTGAAAAACGAAATATAGATCACCTTAATTTAAATTCTAGAATGTCTATTCCCTAATAGACTATTAGATTAAGAACCAATATGTATATATTCAGTAGGGTTTATTATATTAGTATAAGCATAAATCGTTAATTGGTATGAATAAACAAAAGCATAATAAAACAATTGAAAACTATGCAGATGTTCTTGTCAGCATTTCCGGACACTCGCGCATCTCTAACGCACACTTCACAAACAACAACAACATACAGACTACAAGAAATCTGCCTCGAAGATACACACATATATATCTGTTTGACATTTGACATGCATATGCTTGTAAAGGTCGCACGGCGTTTAATTTTTAATTTTTGAAAAAGTCACGAGAGAGACAGAAAGATAGAAAATCAAAAAATGAAAGCGGAAATGCGCTTTCTGACTTGACGCTATTAGCAATTAACGAAAAAAATTTAAGCGCATTAGCCGCATAATTTGCATAAATTTGCAGCAAAAACACACACAAAGAGAAATGGAGGGAGACAGAGAGAGAGAGAGAGAGAGAGAGAAAGAGAGAGTGAAAGCACACAAAAACACGTTGAATCGTGCCGGGGGTGGCTGACAGGCTGGCGAACCTCATTTAACTTTTTAATTGTGCAGTTTTGTGTAAAGCGCCCGAAAGTATGCCATGGAAGTCAGTTTATAAATTTTATACAAAAGCGCGACGGCAATAAGCGCATTAATTGCCAGTGCCAAGCAAATGAATGAGCGCATAAGTGAATAAATTAATGGGAGAGTGGAAATGAAAATGCGAGTCGACAGTGGCAGTTGCAAACTTTTGATTTAATGTTACTTTGAAAATCGCAGACTCTGTTTCCAAAATAGATTCAGAGACTAGTGATATCCCTGCAGTTCTATATATAGTATTATAAATAAATAAAGCAATATTCATATATCGAATATATATCTATATATAATATGGCGTCTATCACGCTACCTGTTGCTTGTTACATAAGGCGTTTTGACTTTCTAGTAAACCCTTTCAACCATCTGGTATAAGGTGTAATTATAGTTCCTAGTAATACCTTCAAATTAGTACTATCTCAGATGGTATTATCAACATTAAAAACTTTTCGCGTCAATAATGAAATTGAATAAAAACATATTTCTTTGACTATGATGATGTGAATACTTAGAAAATTATCCTCTCCCTCAGAAGCGGAAAATTGAGTAGAAAGGAGAGCGCAAAGACCTAACTTTCTGAGATTATGGCTTTCCTTATAACAGACTCTTGGCAAAAATTAAACTAGTTAATCTTAATTGATTACTCACATTTTAATTAACTTGCGTACTTTTTGAAAACCCTCGTGTTATTTAAAAGTCTTCACAAAAAATAAATAAAAGTTTTAAAGTTATTATTACTGCAAAATTTAGAAATTGCAGTGCGGCAATTACATTTATACCGGTGATTGAAAAATCTCAAGTTGCGCGCACCACTTATGCAAAGTGGCTGCGGGTCAACAGCGCGTATGAGCAACGTGAAGTGGCCGCAATTAAAGAGTACTTATATTTTTTCTCACTCTACTTGCAGCTTAGCAACAGCAACCTCAAAGGCGACACTCAAAGGAGACACTCAAAAACGTAGTGGAAAAGGTGATTCCCCATAAATAAGTGCTGCACAGTCGAAAATTAGTGGTACACGATAAGCGGCAGACGATTGAGAGCGCGACCGGTGACTTGGCAGCGCTGCTGGCAACACGACAACGGCAACAACGGCGGCCAGAATTTTCTCACGTTTGGATAGTGTCGAGGAGGTGCAACGCAGTCGCAGTGGCAGCGCAGTCGGAATAACACAGGGCGGCGGTGCGGTGGCAACAGGTTCACCAGCCAGGGCTGGCCAGCAGGGTGTGGGTGTGGGTGTGGGAGCGGGAGCGGGAACGGGTGTAGGCGTAGGTGCAGGTGTGGCTGCGGTTGGAGGTGTGGTTGGTGGGGCATACGTTGGCGGCGTGGACGGTACAGCAGGTGTAGGCATAGGAAATGCGACGGCTAGGAATCGAAGCGCTAGCACCATTCTCGAACTAAGTCACAGTACATTAGCCTCATCATCATCGGCAGCAGCAGCAGCTGCAGCGGCGCATATTCGCAAATACTCATCTGGAGGGGTGACCATCGGTTCGGGTGATGTGAATGGCTTCGGCGAAATATATTCAGGGACAAGAGGTGGCACAACTGCACCGAAATGCGATACCTTAAACGGTGTGGCGACACTCAATAGTGCAGCTGGAGGCGGCGCTGCTTCAGTTGCTAAGGGCTTTGCCACAAGTGCACCTGCCGGTGCAGGTGGCTCAAGTTTAGGCAGCACACTGCGTGGACGTCTCTCGATAAGTGGCGCAGCCGTCGGCGAACAGGTGACCGCAGCAGCGGCAGCTACAGGCACTGGTTCCGCACCAACGATAAGTAGCGCCCCGGTGGCGCCCGCACCCGGACCGAAACGTCAGGGTAGCTTCTCGAATGTATTCTCAAAATTAATCGATGGTATGCCCGCCGGCACAATGTTCGCCAAATTTAAAAGCGCCAATGTGGCAGCGTCCACCTCCATGCAGAATGTCGCCGAAGGCAATCCCATTACCCAATACTTTGAGATTGGCAAGCCGGTGGCGTGCGCGGGACCGGAGCTCGTTTGGCGCATTCACGATGCGTATCGGAAGAGTGATAATAAGGTGAGTGAAAATTATTTGTATTATCTCAGATCTCAGGTTGCAAGCTCTAGACTAAAATAAAATTGGATGAATTTTGATTACCATTGATATTCATTGTATAAATGAATAGGAATTTATTAAAAGATTATTGCAGTCTGTTTGTAAATTACTTTTAAAAGTATTTTGATATACTGCCTGTATTGCTAAATGAATACATTCACAACAAACCTATTTATATACGGATTTGTTAACTCCTAACCAATAGCAATAGTTTTTGCCATAATAAAAGAAGTTTGGGGTTTTCTCCCTAATTGTACATTACAAACAGCTTTCAAAAGCTGTGCAGCTATTTAGGGTACATGAATATTTGGTATTATTTTGAACTACCCTTAATTCCTCTCTGTCCAACAGGAATGTTCTGTGTTTATATTTGAGAAGAAAATTGCGGAGAAATTGCATAAGCCACGTCGCAAGGAGACAATTACGGAGCTGCTGAAATCCTCGGTAAAGACATTGGAACGCTTTCGTCATCCACGGGTGAGTTCCACTGCAATCCATGCCAACTAACCCCTTTACTGTGTAACGCCTCTTTGTTCTTTTATTCATACTTTTCCTTCCTTTTTTGTACACTTTGGTGCGCTTTTAACTACAGATACTGCAAATATATCACACGGTCGAGGAGAGTGCCGACACACTGGCATTTGCGGCAGAACCTATTTTTGCCAGTCTATCGAATGTTTTGGCTTTTCATGTGAGTAAAGGAAAGAAGCAATTCCCAAAAGAGAGTTTGTCAAGGACATGCAGTTTTCCTTCCTGTTGTTGGTGCTGTTGCGCTTGCTGTCTCTGAAAAGACAGCTTTTTTTGTTGTTGTGGCTGTTCACTTTTATTTCGCCAACGCTTGGGAGGAATGTTTTCCCACAACCTACAAACATTCTGAAACATAAAAGAGCACAGTTTCAAAAGGTTTTGTTGTCGTAAATGCAGACTAGATTTTGCCACCTTTGGATGGTTACTGGCAGGTCCGACAATTTTCTTTAGAAAAAATGATCAAGGTACTGAAGTTTCTTCTGCCAGCGACACGGACATCATACAAGTATAGCAGTGTAGCCCCACAAACAACAAACGTTTTGAAACACAAAAGAGCACAGTTTCAATACCTTTTGTTGGTAAAAAAAAAAAATAGCTCTAGGTTGTGCCACCTCTGTATGGTTACTGTCAGGTCCGAAAATACCTTTAGAAAGAATTATAAAGAAACTGAAGTTTCTCCTGTCAGAGACGCAGACTGGATATGAGAGACGTTAACTTCTTCCTTCTCCTTCAACTCACCATTCTTTGTTTTCAAAAGTTATTAATGGAAATTGGTATTGTTGGGTACCGGGACCTTTCTGCCAGTATCCAGAACAGAGTTCTAGTTATTTTTATTTTCTTTCCATAGGCTTGAAAAACATCTTTGCATTATTTGCCTAATTTCAATTGGAAAGTAATAAATATTTTATTTCGTTTGAGATTCTAAAGTGTAGGATTTTGTTAAAAATAATAACAGGTAGTATTAGAATAGAGACAAAGCGTCAAGATATGGTGCTAGAAATTGTACGAGATGATATTTCTATTGAAAGTAAATAGCTATGTATACATGGATATATAAACTTTTTGAAGATATTATTAACTTCAACAGTTCCATTTAAAAGTTCCGACTACTTTTAAATAAATTTAATTATCGTGACTTACAGTCAAACCATTTTTAACAAATACTCTCAAGGTAGTGAAATGTGGAGTAATATTTCATTACAACTATCAAGCGGTACCGATTTAAAAAATTAAAATCAAAAGGCTTTACAACTTTTGTTGTTGAACGGAAGCACTCGATCTCGCATTCATTGGAATCTTGTTTTCAGTGAAAGTGAAGTGCCCGGAATCCAAAATCGAAGCATATTGTTGTTAGAGTTTCACAAGTCGATTGCATAGTTTCGCCAAAGTCCCTGACAACGCAACTTTGAGGCAGGAATAGTAATAGTACACGCACCTATAAACTAGCGCACAAATATATACACACACACGCTAAACACTCAAGCGTATCGTATTAAAATCGTGTGTGCAAAACTTTATACATGGCAGATTGAGACGCTAAAGTGTGCTTCGAAATTGATACGCACTCGGTACACACACTCACACACACGCACCATAAAGGGTGTTCCAAGTTTTCTACTGGAGAGCATTTGTTTGTTGTTCGATTTAGATGAAATTTGAAACAAAAGTAGACTATTATGCATAAATTGTGTGTGCAAAGTTTGGTTAATGTATATTGTAGCTTTTGAAATGTGGACGCTATTGACGAAATTCTGTAGTAGGGGAAGGGGGGGAAAACTCCAAAAAATAAAATAAACTCGTCCTTTCTAGGAAAATCTGGATGCCAACTTTGGTTATTCTAGCTTTTATAGTTTCTGAGATCCTCGCGTTCATCCAGACAGACGGACAGAAAGACAGACGGACGGACATGGCTAGATCCATTTCTCTCGTCGTGCTGATTCAGAATATATATACTTTATGGGGTCGAAGATGCTTCCTTCAGCATGTTACATACTTTGCATAAACCCTTTTTACCCTACGGGTACTGGGTATAAAAATATAAATACTTTTAGAAAAAAAGCAGACGTTGCAAGACATTGTTGTGCGAATATTTATCAGCGCTCTGATTGGAAGTGTTTTATTTTCAAAAACAAATGTGTTGCTTATGATATTAATTTTGTGAATAAATAGGACTTTTGGTATAAAACTACTTGTACTAAAGTTGAACAGAAAATAAGAAGAAGGATGTTGAAATTTGTGAAAAACGAAAGTATGAAGAAAGAGTTTGTTATTTTTTTAGAACTTTGGGAACTTTTGAAACACCCTTCCTAACAGCAGAAGCTAGTATTGAGCTTTGCCCTTTTTTGCCAGACAAAATTGTAGTTTATTGTGGCGCAAGCAAATTGCACAAAACATATATGTACATAAATACACAACTAAACAGATACACAAGCGAATAGTGAAACAAACAAACGAATTGAACAGTTTTCAGTTACAGAAGCCATAACAACAACAGCAATAGCAACAACAGCTACACAAAGTTTAGTCGAGTTAAATTACTTTGAAAATTGCACAAATTGGTCTGCAAAACAAAGACAAAAACAAAAATAAAAGAAAGCAAACAACAAACGAAATAGAGTGTATGGCAATTGCCATAAAATGCACACTCGAGCTTGACTTTGTGAGATTTTCGTGCGGTTGTGTCTGCTGCTAACATGGCACTTCATATGCACACACACGCACACACACACACAATGTTACATATGAATATACGAATACACAGGAGTCGAAAACCTATGAGAATGCGAATGTGGCACCAACAGCAGCCGGCGGGGCGCCACAAACGCAAACAGCGCCCAACGCTCAACAGCCGCAACGGCCGGCGCATGCAAAGGAATACATTTTCTTGGACATGGAGCTAAAATATGGGTTTCTCCAGGTGAGTGTATACTATACATATATGACCATGGCGAGGGGTGAGTGGTGAGTGGATAGTCGGCAAAGGTAAACGATATATGCGTTTGTTTCAGTTAACTGAGGCTTTGTCCTATCTGCACTATTCTGGTCACGTAATTCATCGAAATGTGTGTCCATCATCTATATTAATAACCAAACGCGGCATTTGGAAACTGGCCGGCATGGAGTATGCGGGTAAGTTGTTGTTGTTGTTGCAGAGTGTTGTAGAGTGGCACCCAAGAACCAAATTGAAATGAATTGCATTGCCATTGCCATTGCCGCTTTTTTACTGAGCGGAATTTGTGCTTTTTGGGGCTTTGCAGAAAGAATGAACGAGACTGATTTGAATTGCTCAATTCCGTGTCCGCCTTGGAGCAACAGGGTATCAAAAATGGCGCAACCAAATTTGGATTTTATGGGTAAGCCCAATGGTTCAAATTGTATTTAAATAGCACACATACTTCAACAAATTTAGCAATTAAAATAATTAAAAAGTAATGAATTAATCTTCAAGTTTATGTTATTTATGTTTATTTTAAAATGCCTTCCTGGTATTGAAAAGATTATATTAAAAACGAATAGAAGAGAATCAAAAAAATATTGAGAAAAAGTTTATTTTAAAATGTCTTTTTTTAGTTAAAAAGATTAGAAGAGAATAGAATAAAATTGTACCTACATGAAGAATAAAATTTGAAAACATTTTCTGCATACTACACTTAAATTATTTCTAATAGTTTTCCTTCTTCATATAAGTCTATCATACACCTTTGTTTCCATTTGCATCTGAATACTGATGATTATGATTACAGCGCCGGAAACGCAGGCAACGTCCAAATGCAGTCTGCTCAGCGACATGTTCTCATTGGGAATGGTCATTTGTGCGGTGTTCAATAATGGCCGCCCACTGATACAAGCTGGGAATTCGACATCAAACTATGCGAAGCAAATGGAAACGGTGCGTATGCCTAACACGTTGCTGAGGTGTAGACAGGCGGTAAATTAATTTTTGGTTGAGCAGACAGCAAAGTGAGTCCAAACCAAACCAAACCGAACCAAACCAAACCAAACCCAACCAGCAAGTGGCAATTGGTTTTGCACCTTGCTGAGCTGTGAAAAGTTTCTACAGCTTGTTTGGCCGTTGTAATTAGATTCGCTGCTTTGTCAAATGTAAATGTAATCAAAAGTCCACTTGAAACTCTAATTATTTTGCCACTTGAAGAATGTGTGCTTGTTTGTGTGCGTTTATGTGTGCAGGTGAGAACAGCACTGGCTGTGGTAGCGTCTTGAATGCCCCAAGCATCACAGCATGGAGCTATCGTGGCGCTGATGGGCTCGGTTGCCTTTCATTAAAAGTTGGCGCGACTTCAAGTGGTTTCTAATTTTGGGAAAGGCAACTTTTTGGTCAGCGTTTGCATAATTTCTGTTCTCTCGTTTGCTATCATTTGTGTTTTTGCAGCTGGACGAGAATGTGCAAAAGTTAATGCCACGTCTGCCCATTGCGCTGCAGGAAGCTGCCTCCCGTCTGGCCAGTCGAGATTCAACGATTCGCCCCACGGCCCAGCTGCTTCATCTCATCAAGTACTTCAAGTGAGTAATTATATTTTTAAATTTTATTGTTATACTCTATATACTCGTATATCATATGCCCTTCATTGTAAAAGGCAAAAGAAATAGTGTGTTAAGAGTATACGTTTGTAACAAACAATGCTTAGTTTTTATTTTATTTTATAAAACGCTATTGTTTATTTAAGATCTGTCCTAGCTTTTTAAATCACGCTTCTGACATGATGGTTATGCGACGATCTCACATTGTGGGATTCCTTCTAGTTCATTGAGCTATACTAGGCCCCAACAATGCTTAGCTATAGACAAACATATGAGACGATAAAAAAAATTTATATGATTGATTATGGTCTTTTTACACCCCGTACCCGAAAGTTAACAATTTGTGTGCCAATCAGGCAGAAAGAAACATATCCAACCATAAAGTATGTAATTATATTTAATCACATTGATAACTAAATTCGATTTAGAAATTTCCGTGCGTTCGTCCGCTTATTTGACTGTCTGGATTTCGGAAACATATGACCAAACTTGGTATGTAAAGTGTCCTACTTGTTGTCCCTAGGCAGTTGTTAGGCTAAAAGAAACACAAACATTTGGGGTTAGCATCCGAACCATCCATACCGCTAATATGTCTGCTTAAAAACGCAGTCAACTCCACTCAACTATGATATAAGTGCGTTTCTCCAGCTCACTTATTGGTTAATTTGTTCACTCAATGCACATTTGTTACTTTTTCGATTCCACATTTGATTACCTAAATTTGCAATCAAACCATATGAAAAATGAGTTGCCATTGAAATTTTATAGAATTTAGAAATATAAAGAAACCGTTTTAAATTGTTTTTCGAAATTGGTATGGTGGATTAGATTTTAAATTGCAAACATATAATCTGATTCAAGTATCATATCATAGCAGTAGCTCCCAATTTTTTGTTGATATATTAAATACGAATTGGATATCTAAATTAAAATCCAGTCTGCTGATTTGCTCTTCTTTAATGCTTGGAATACAAATTTTTTCATTTATACAAGTATAAATAGGCGATTTTATAAAAGGAAAGCAAGAATTCTTTTGATTGTTCCTATTGTTTCGAAATGATCAAATTAAACAGAAGCTTAGTTATTAGTCTCTCTAAGGGATTTATTGTTTGAATAATTTTTTCAAAATTAGGGTATTTAACTTCGAAATTATCCGAAATTAATTGTTAACTATATTTTTTCATGAAATGAACTTTATAAAGTTTTGAAGCAATTTCTGACACAAACCAACACCAACATGCCAATTTGCAGTCCTATTGTCCAGGGCCACGCGGCGTATGAGCAACATGTATAATTCATACGCCATGTTGTACAAGAAGCGTGTATTGCCATACATATATGTGTGTGTATGGATGTTAGTTTGTTTTAATACATTTATGTTGCTTCATTGCTGCTGCAAATTAATTAACTGCCAAGCAGATGTGAGAAGAACGGAAACGAGGATGAGGAAGAAAAAGCGCCAATTTGTGCAGTTTTAGCAAAAGTTTTTGTTTGAGTTTCAAATGAAATTGACAACTGTTAAAAACACGCACACAAGCACACACAAACACATACACATACACAAAAGCTAAGCCAATTTGTATAGATGTGAGGCATGTAGCTAGAATCCAATTGAAGCTAAAGCGAGAGAGAGAGAGAGAGACAGAGAGAGAGAGAGGGAGGCAGACACACGCACACTTTAATTACGTCTGTTTGGCAAATGAAAACGGTAATCAGGCTTGAAAGACACAATGCGCTGTTGACTTGAGTAGCAGCAGAAAGGGATAATGCCAGAGGGTGAGTAGACGGCAGCAGGGGCTGAAGAATAAACGGTTCATGCTGTTGTTGCCGCTGCCTTGGCTGTTGGATTTATGACGAGAAAGGCAGCTGCTATTTCTGCCACCACGCCAAACAACTTCTGAGACGTACTAAGTCGACTCCTAACTGGAGTTGTGCGCGTGACAAAAGAAAAACCTTTTATGAACACGTAGATTCAAGAAACCACCTTCTTAATATTTCTTTAATATGCTTTCTGAATGTATTTAGCGTTGAAAAATTATAAGTAAGTCTTGTCAAATCGAGATTTAGTTTTAACTCCTTCTATTGAAGGAACTGCGGTTTATAATAATGTATCAAATTTTATAAATATACTTTAAAAAGTTATTGTATTAGGTCTATTGTCCCGCACTCAGTATCAGTGGTCTCATTTCAAATAAGCTTTTAAACATGTCAAAATTGAGGGAACAACATAACAAATAAATGTTAAAACTTAAAAAAAATCAAATAATTAATACATTCTCGGAAGAATAAATTTTATTGCTTATAATCGATTTATCGTTATCAGAACTCAAAAAGCGATCGATGTTCAACAATACGCCACTCACGCATTTACGCACATCTCTAAGGCAAGCTAAAAGGCCTGGCAATGTGCAGCACTTAAACAAACAAAACTAAAGACAGCCAGTCAGACGGACAACAACAACAACAGGAATAGTTAAATTGTGGGGAAGGGTGATGGGAGGCTAGGGAGCCTGGCATCACTTTGAAGTTAATTTAAATGTTGTCAACATTTCTTCATTTTTAGACAGCGTATGCAAATGGCTCAAGTGTTGGCAATCAGTGCACGCTACTGTTTATATTACAAATTTATCCTCGCTTCTAGCTTTGCTTTTGATTAACTCAGACTGCGTGAGAGCGAAAGCGAAGGGCAGAGAGATTAGGAGAGTTAGAAAGAGAAGGTGAGGGAGCAAAGGAATTCAAACTGCGTTGAAGTGAAGGGTGGAGTGGCCCTCAGGAAAGTGGTGACCCCAGCAGAACACTTGTAGCTTGTGCAATGCGGCGTATACGCAATGTGATTTACTCAGCTAACTTAGTTTGCTGCAATTGTTCAAATAAGTACTGAGTTTTATTACATTTGCTTCATATAATTCAACTATATTTGACTTTTATTTCAACTTTTCAATTACCCGCAACCAATTTTGTGTGCTTAACAATGCGCAACGGTAATGGCAACGGCGACGGCGACGCCTGCACACTCAGATAACAACTAATGCCACGTTTCATGGGTTAGCGGGGGCTTAGTCAGGGAGTGCTGTTGGCAAAGCCGCAACTAGCTGAAATAGCTGCGGGGCACGCTGTTATTGCCATTATTGCTGCTGTTGTTGTGTGTTTCTGCGGTTGAAATTAAACACTTTTTGTGCAATTAAAATTTTCGCACATTTGCATAACAATAAAAAGCATTTAAAATTTGCATTGCATACCCATTGCCAGCAGGCATGTTTGTGCAGTTTTAAGCACGTTTTAATAATAATGAGAGCTTAACAATATTTATTTACTCTATTCTACGATGCAATTTATAATTTTTGCGCTGGCTAATATTTGGGTTTGGCTATGGATTAGATAGTTGATCACAAATACCGCAGCTCTTTCATAATTGGATTTGGCTGTAGCAAAAAGTAATTAATACTGAGTTTGTTATTTACGTTTATTTAAATGCAAAATTAATGAGACAATATATAATATATTTATTTTAAATTCGATTGATACGACGATTTGTATTTTGTTTTCATTTAAAAATAGTTTAGGGCTGTATATTTGTTTTTGAATAATCGTATTTTGAGTAGCAACGTGCGTTTCATAGTTTCTGTATCTCAGCCAGTTGGAGAAACTTTATTCGGTAGATAATGACATAAATGAAACATTAATAAAATTGTAAAAAATGTGGTAATGAGATCTTATCTGATAGAGAGAGGCAAAATAGTTTTTATACGAAATGCAATCCATTCGATTGATTGTTGGAACAAAGCTTTCTAAATGGTTAGTGCATTGCCCCCTTTGTTGCGTAAATTTCCAAAGCCATTCGCTGAGAATTTCAGATGGCGAAGCTAAGGCGAAATAATAATTTTATTTGCCAGCTTTAAGTTTGTGTAGAAGCCCCGCACCGTAACATATTCTGCGATCTTCCAGAGCTCGACCTGGATGTGTAGGAAAAGGATTATTGGATACACAATTCTCAAATCTAAAATTCCATTTGTAACAGTTCGTACCGTTCAATAAACTTTCAGCAATGCGGACACCATACACTGGAAAAGTACTCTGATATATTGTACTCTGGTTGTACAAGAGTTATCAAATTATTTTTTAGTTTGTAGATGATTCATTATAATACATATCTTGTTTGTTTTATTTTATATCGTATTTAAATTTTAAACAATTTTTAGCTAATTTTGAATCAAATTTGGAACAAGAAAAAGCTGGTGAAAAAATTATGAAATATTGTCATGTTTCATAGCCTTTGTCGATGATAATAAATATTAATAATATCATAAAATTACTTCACTGATATATCAGAAGAAACTAAATTTAAATGCTATCCAAAAGTATGAAGTGCAATCATCTTTAAAATACATGCTACTACAACTTTTTTCTTATAAGTAGTAGAAATATAATTCAGCTTATCACACTCCATTGGTGTGTTATGAATTCATCTCTTATTACATTTATTTCTTTTTCTTTTCTCATTCCCATGCACTGACAGTGATCCGGCTATAGCAGCATTGAAATTTCTGGACGTAGTCAACATGAAGGACACGCAACAGAAGTCACAGTTCTACAAGACCACCTTGATAGAGGCTATGCCGCTGATACCGCGAGTAAGTAGCCGAACGAGCCATATTATTATTCGAATGACAGGCAGGCAGGCAGGCGCTCAAAAGCCATTTTGGGTTTTTGAGGCTGGGGCATTAATTATTTACGGTGCTAACTTGGCCGCTTTATGGCTAAACAATTTGCGAATTACGAGCCATTTTATAGCAGTTGCAAAAATGTAACAGCAAGGCGTCCTTTGTCCTCCTGCCAAGGATATGCATTGGCACAATGGCGTGTAACGGAAATGCCGCACTGTTAATGACAGCTTAGCATTACCAATTGCGATAGCAAGTTGTGCACTGAGAGAATAGAAGAGCTTCATTTAAATCGTGAAACAATCTCTCACTTACTTGACCATTTATTTATTTATTTCATTTTAAAATACTTGAATTACAGGAACTATGAATTGTGACAGGCAACGATATTAAAATATCTATTCACCCTCAATTTAATTTAAAATGTATAATTTAAATGCAATTGTATGACAAAATTGTAAAACATGCTCCAACTCTTGGCGTCATTTTAAATTCAAAACTAATAAATGACAATTGAAATTAATACATTAAATATTTTTGAATACCAAAAATTATTTTTTGGGTAGAGACTATAGGCATTTATCGAAATTATATAAGCTGTTGGGAATTATGAGGTGTAGAATAAAATGGTTTTTATTTTTAATTTCTATTCTGCATTTAAAACAATGTAATAGCAGTTTTGATCTGTAACAATATAATTTGATTGCCTTATAAATCGGCACAAAATGTTTTCATATGAAATATATAAAAACCAATTTTTGACTTCTAGCTTCTCTGCGTAATCAGTAAAATAGTTAGTACTATTAGACTACACTGATGTGCTATTAATAGCTATGCTTTTCATTTGCCTCATCCATACTTCAAAAACAGAAACTCTGGTGGCAGAACATTTGGCCCATGCTCAAATCGGAGATCAACAATGGCGAAGTCCTGGCCGCGGTCCTGCAGCCCGTCATGCTGTTTGTCCAGGAGGCGACACACAGCGAATACGATGCTTTGATGTCAGCGACAATGAAGTGAGTGTTGGACCATTATATGGCTTTCTCATTCTATATACTATGTTTCTACAAGCACAAGTATATATAGTATATATAAATGTATAGACGTGGTGGTTTTGCTTCTGTTATTGTTGTGGTTAGTGGCTTTGTGGCTTGAGGTTTGCGGCTTGCAGCTTAAGGCAAACAAACAATGGACACTGACTTCAACTTGTGCTGTTGAACAATTGAAAAACTTTTGTGACACTTTTTATTTAATTTTCATGACATTTTATTGTACAGAGGTGCACACATATAGAAGACACTCTTACTTACAGTAGGCAGAGGGCATGGTATATTGTAATTTATAGAGCAAGTTCCAGAAGCTTGCAAAGTTTCTCGGGCTTACCTTTTGTGGGAAAAGGCGATGCCTGCCAACTGTGCATAAATTAGTAAGAGACACGGCCACTAGCAATACAACTACACATATACTCAGATGCCTCAGCATACACATATATATCTGCCAAAGTTGGCGCTCAAGAGAGCGCAGCAAAGTTTTCGGACACTTGTAAGACGCTTATTGACACTGCTATAAAAGTTGCTAGGGAGCAAGAAAAAAATATAAACTTTTTTTTCAACGTCAACTACACAGTCACACAGTTGAATGCTGCCACCACAACCACACTTATTATTTGCGGATATATGTATATTTTTTATTTATTTGTTGCCTCCAGGCTCACATTTAAATAATTTAGCAATCGAATTGAAGTTTTTTCCTTCGTTTTATGTTCATGGCCATGGTCAAAAATTAAATCAAATCTCTGTGGTGATTCTCATTGCCAGAGTTGTCTACAACACACCGAAATCCATTCAAGCGAGCGTTACGATACTCGAGAATTTGCATTTGATTATTGAGAAGACGAAGCCGGAGGATGTCACCACAGACATAATGCCAATGTTATTCTTTTCATTCGACGGCTCCACGATACAAGTGCAGGTAAGGCGTGCTAACAGCGCTTTTGTGTGGCCTTACTTCCTCCCGTCCTTCCTTCCACTTGTTATACTCTGCGTTGGCGTCTCTATGCAGAGACATGCAAATTAGTTGGCAGACAGACAGACATACATAAGTACTATATAGACAGATTGACAAGAAATTCATTGCGAGTTTCAAACAGTCGACTGACTGAATGAAGAACTGAATGAATGAATGGGTTGACAGTTGGGAAAGGAAGCAAAACGGAGGAGAAGGCTATGAGCGGTTCGCGTTGGCGTTGATTGCGTAATTAAAGCAGCAATTTCTTAATTAACTATTGCATAAAAAATGGCGCATTTGCGTTTAGTGCCGTTAGCCGCACTCGATGTCTCGAAGACTTAATGAAGTGCGCGAGCGTCACGAAGACAGATGATACCAAATGAAGTTGATGGCCATGTAGTCCACTACTGAATGAATCTATTAAGAGATGTATATAGTTATGGGCTTTTAATGTTTGATCTGAAATATTTTAAATTATATTTTCCAATCAATTACAAAATGCTGCTAAAAAATTAAATACATTTTGCAATGAGTTAAGAAATTCTAACGGAAAAATTAAAATTAAATATTATTTGATATCACGATTAAAATACTTCCATATTAAAATATTAACTCATTTATGTACTGAAATAAATAAAAAACAAACACTAGCTTCTATTATTAATTAAATTTTTTAGTTTTATGATATTTTATTTCAACAATGATAGATGCAGGATAAGTGCAATTTTAAAATTTCATAAATTTATTTCAATATTTTCTTAAGAAATGTTTGTTACAAATTTGAAAAGAGCTAAGCACATAAAACGTCAATAAGCTACGAAAATAATAGTATGTTGTTGAGGGAATGTTTTGGAAATTCTTACTTATTTGAAAGTTCAAAAAGAAAATGTACAAGTATGTGCTTTCCTTTAATTACGGCAAAGGTCTTTTATTAAATTGTTTTCTTATTTAGAATTCTTAGTCACTTCAAATTTTCCGCTTCTTTGTTTGTTTGTAAAAGAACAATAAACATATATTGTTGACAAGTGTTGAATTTTACTCATATGTTTATTTGTTTTAAGTCAAGTTGATTTCAATTCTGACCAGTTATAGATTGAAAACAAACAGTTGTGGAAAGCTAAGGATATTCGAACAAGCAAAAGCATGTCTTGGTATCTTTCTTTCCCTGCGTTTGGGGCAAAACACATTTTAGCAGGTTATCTTTAAATAAAATCTGAACGGTGAGGCAAAGAGTAAAGGTGATTCTTAGCACTATATTTGCGGTTAGATATGCATTGAGTTACGAATAGATTCGAAAGTTCAGGTTTTATACTTTAATTTCTGATTTGTGGAAGACTCAAGCATGAACCAAGTATTTTCTTTGAACTATATTTATATTCTTTTTATATGTTCGAATGCAGAGATATTCCTTAAGAACCGTTTATCCTTTTTAAGGTATTAAAATTATAAAATACTTAAATACAATTTAAAGCCTTGGAATATTAGTATTTGAACGTAGGCAAGAAACTTCTGTAAAATATAATTTACATCAATGATATTCACTAATTGTGGTAATTGACGATGGATGACAAAGTCGCGATTACGTTTCACCTAATTCCCTTTATTCTAATCGAGCAATACTCAATTTAAACAGTGCGCCGGATAGTATGCTCTTAATATTTATATCTGTTCTATATGTGTATGACATCCTTTTGTATGCAGAGCGCTGCTGTTGTGGCTGTGGCGAATGTCTTTGACAGCATCGATGAGCTTTCCATACGTCGCATGGTGTTGCCGAAGGTGAAAATGGTGTTTGAGAAGAACATAACCGATCCGAAGATAGTGCAGAATGTGTTAATGTGCATTGAGCGTACGATGGATCGCATGGAGAAGGCCCAAGTATGGTAAACAAAAGAAATCACTAGAGCGTTTCATGCAGGTTTTCTACTTTTTGTTTAGGTAATGGAAGAGGTGCTGCCGTTGTTGGCCAATATTCGCATACCCGACCCAGATATTATTATGCGTACTGTGCGTAAGTTGGCTCTGTCAAATTAATGCAATTAAAATGCTCTGAAAACATTTGCGTGCATTCAGCCGAAAAGTTAATGCAATTTCACACACGCACGCACACACAAACAAGCCACAGAAACGCGTATAACAACGTCATACCTGCAATGTTTTTATGCCAAAAACTAATTAAACTGCATAAGCTCGAGCTGCTTCACGAGCAGGTGATGTTATTGTTGCTGCCTCTCTGTGGCTCTAATAGAATAATGCACACAACCATAGCATGTAGGCGACATACGCCTATACGTGTACTATACTCGTACTAGTACATATTCATGTGTGTTTGTTTGTATGTACACAGGACTCGTGTCTGCATAGCTATAAATTCTGAAAATCTATCTACAGGCATCTATCACAAGCTGTTTGTGGACAAATCCTATGGCCTGAGCGTGGAAACAATGGCCACCAATGTGCTGCCATTGCTTATACCGCATACTGTCAATCCGGCGCTCAATTTCGAGCAATACTGCTATCTGCTTGAGGTAACCATAATACGCACACTACCCCCCAACACCAACACCACCACCACCACCAATACCACCACCCACTTACGCACATACTTGTATGTGTACGCATACCACCAAACTCGAAAGCATTCCTAACTCTGCCAGCTAACAAATTATGGCACATAAATTTGCACGGCAACTCCAATTGCATGACTACAACGACAAAAACAAAAACAACACAATTAATACAAAAAAGCAACAACAGCAATTGTAAAACATGACTATATATGTATGCAACCGGACTGCAGGTGCTGCAACAAATGCTGGAGGCCATCGATAGACAGCAGCGCAATAAATTGAAATTGGACAACCTGTCAATCGCCTCGCCGGAACGACATCGGACCCTTCGTCATCAGTTCTCCACAGACAACATGAATGCGCCGCCATTCAATATCCCCAACTTGCGCATTGATCAGCGAAAGACCTCCAGCGCTGAGGATATGGCGCGCAAGAATTCCGGTGGTAAGTAATAAATAAATATTATTTACTTCTTGCGATTACATTTACGGAACACAAATATAAATATAAACGTTTAATTTAATATTTATTATAATTTACCTTAAAAAACCAAGAATATATATATTAGTTTTGTGCAATGTGCAAAATGTAACAGGCAGCAGAAGCTGTATATATATTCTTGATCAGCATAAGAAAAAGAGTCGTTATAGACATGCCCATCTCCATCAACAAAAGGATCTCACAAATTACAAGTGCTAGAACAACCAAGCTTGGTATTCATATCCCCCTCAACACAATCATAGCTTCTCTCATTCTTGGAATTGTTTACTCAAATTTGGCTCAGCCAGCAGATTTTGTTATTGTTGCTGCTGCTGATTTGGCCGAATTCAGCACTGCACATATACACACACACACACATTCACAGACACGCATAGGCACATAGATACAATCCCGATGTAAATCTATGCAATTGAAACTGTACGAAAACATATGAACTCCAGTGTGCTTCTCAACTGGCGTCCACATTTGCATCATTCATTAAAGCATCTCTCAATTAAATCTACTATTCGGATCGCCATTTTGCTTCATTAAATGAAATAAGTTTTTTTGGTGAACAAAGTACACAATATAAGTGTGTTAAAAAAAAAACAAATTACATTTTATTTAAAAGTTCACTATATTGTTTAAAATTTGTTTGTCATGTGTGCGAACCCACAAAAAATTTGTTTACTGGCATCGTCACCTTTCCAAGTCAATTTATACGTGCAAGATTATCAGCTTTCCTTCCTTCTCGTAACCGAGAACGTGACTGCACAATCCAAATACTTACTATATATGAACATATGTATGTATGTATATGCAACATCACAAAAAATGCACCCTCTTTGAGTTAACTTTAATAAATTTCAAATGGTTGAAAATTATGTGCAGCAGAGGGAAACAAACGCTTTTCCCCACTTTCTTCTATATACTTGTAGGAGACATCCCAGTTTCAAAGTGTTTCAAGTGTGAAGTTCCACAGTTCCATTTATTGTGTTAATTTCCTTAGATTGGTTGATAGTTTCTAAGAATTTATTTGCTAAAGACTGCTTTATTTGCTTCCCAACAAATATTTCTATAAAATGTACTAAAATATTGGCAATTTGTTGGCAAACGCTTGCTTTAAGAATTGTAATCATATTTTGAAAATTCTTTAAATCGGGAACTTATAAATGTTCCCGCAAGTCAAATCAAATAATCAGTTAGCTAGTTGATAATCTTCACGTCCACATTATGAGTGAATACATATGGATTATTGTAAAAAAATGTAATTTCCAACTATATGCTTTGCAGTTTTAAAAGTGTACATCGAGTTCGTATTTCTATTTTTGTTGCAAGGCTGGACATTGCATTTAATTAGTAGTTAAAGCGCCGGAATGTCGAGTCTCAAAATGAAATGAGATACATGGAATTCAAGCAACTGCTATATATATATTTTATTTATTTATAATGAAATTGCCAGCACTTACAAAGTGCGGACAATTTATGGTTTGTGTTAAGCAATAGCTGCGATGGCCTTCTGCTTACATTCTTTGTTGTAATATAGTAAGTAACAATATTGATTTAACATTTGATATTATGACTTAAATAGGTGATATTTATTAGCTATTGTATATGCAAGGCAACGAGTATACAAATATATAGGTCTACAGATTCTAGTTACTAATTAAGATTCTACTTATATGCTATTGTAAAGGTTTATGGATTTAAGAAATTGGATTGTTGTGACTATGTTTTTGGGATCTACTATTTCTTCTAGGGTTTTTTGGAGGAATTTCTGTCTGTGCTCAACATAAAGAGGACATTCTAGGAATATGTGGGATAGTGTTAGGTTATGATTGCATTGTTGGCATGTAGGATGGGGTGTTTTGTCAAATAGGTGGCTGTGTGTTAGTTTAGTGTGCCCGATTCGAAGTCTCATAAATTTAATGGTGTCCATTCGAGAGATTGTTGTGTTTAGAGATACAATATGGTTCTGCTTTTTTGAGTTAATAAGTTTGTAATGTGGAGATGTGTTGTTCCAGATACTATCGTATTGGGTTTTCATATGTTTACTGATGTATTTAAGTGTATCTGATATGTTGAGGTTTCTTTCTAATATTAATGGTAATGTGAGTGCTTGCTTAGCTGCTTGGTCTGCAAGTTCGTTTCCAATAATGCCGCAGTGTCCTGGGACCCATATCAGAGTGAATTTGTGTTTGTATTTTAAAATGATTTTCCTAATTTCTAATGTGTAGTAGTTATAGTTGTTTAAGTTTTCTAGGGCTGTAAGGGCTGAGAGTGAGTCGGTGCATACGGCAAATTTTCCTTTTTGTTTTTCCGCATATCTGCATGCGTAGAGAATTGCTGCTATTTCAGCAGTGAAAATGGAGGAATAAGATGGGAGTATCTGCTGGGTTATGATGTGTTCTGTGGAGGTTACACTGTAGGCTACTCCGGTATCGGACTTTGAGCCGTCTGTATATAGGAACGTGTGTTGTTTGAGGGTATCTTTAATTTCTAGGAAGAGTTGGGAGTAAACAATCGTTGGTGTGTTGGGTTTTGATGAGGTGTGAAGGGATTTATTTATCCTAGAAAAGTTAAATGACCACGGTGGGGTGGTTTCTTTTTTATTTATTATGGGTACAGGCTGTAGCAGTATCATTTTACAGTTTTCAATGGTATCCTTTATTGTTGATGACAATTTTGGGACCCGCTTCGCTTTCGAAATTTTTTTACAAATGTGTTCTAGTGGAGTATTTTTTGCGGAGGATATAATTTTAAAGTTTTTTAATATAGCGTGCTCGGTTCTGTGTTCTATTGGCCTAATGTTAGATTCGTATATTAGATTGTTTATTGGTGAGGAGCGAAAGGCACCGAGGGTCATTCTAACAGCTGAGTGGTATATGGTTTTTAATTTGTTAATTTTTGATTTGGGAGCTCTTCCGTATAGGAATAACCCATAGTCAATTTTTGACATGATTATTGAGTTTATTACATAAAGAATGGTTTTCATGTGGCAGTTAAAACTAGTACTGCAGAGGCATTTAATAATGTTTAGCCTTTTAGCTAATTGTATTACTAATTCTTCTATGTGTGCATCCCATTTATATTTATTAGTTATAGTAATGCCTAGTATTTTTAATGATTTTTCATTTTTTAAGTTGAGATCGCTAAGTATTCTGAAGTTGCATTTTTTTTTTCGACAGATGTGTAGATGTTTTGATTTTGGCATGGAGAGACTGGCTCCAGAGTAATTGCACCATTTTCGGATGTCTGAGATTAGTGGGTTTATGTTTAAGGTTGTATCTATCTTTTTGTGTCTTTTTATTATTGTATAATCGTCTGCGTATGCAGTAAATTCGAATGATTTATGTAGACCTATGGTTTTATTAAGTTTATTATAGGCGATTGCAAAAAGGATTACCGATAGTGGTGATCCTTGTGGGATTCCATTTTCTAGTGGCAAGGGTTGGGATTGTATGTTTTGAGTCTGGACACAAATTTTTCGGTTGGTTAAGAAGTTTATTATGTAATTTATCATTTTTGGTCCTAATTTCCAGTCAACGAGCTCGTCGATTATTGTATGTATTCCGATTTTGTCAAATGCCTTTGAGAAGTCTAGTGAAATGATAGAAAGGTGGCTCTTTCTGGATAGGGTCGTGGTAGTCAGGTAGTCTAGCATTGCTAGAGAATCTGATACCGATTTTCCCTTTCTAAATCCCATTTGACGACTATCGAGTAGCTGGCTGTTATTAACTAGCCACCATAGTCGTTTGGATATGATTTTATCCATGACTTTGGATAGGCAGCTATTTAATGAAATGGGTCTATAAGATGATATTGCTGTTTTGTTTGAGTCAGGTTTTAATATTGGTATTATGTTACTTATTTTAAATTGTTGTGGAATATATGCGTTAAGGATACTGTTGTAGAGGTTGAGGAGCCTTTGCATTACTGAATCTGGCAGGTTTTTTATCATTGGGTAGCTGATGCGGTCCCTACCTGGGGTTTTGCCTTTAAGTTGGTTAATGGCGCTTTTTAGTTCTATAAGAGAAATGTCGCATTCTAAGGGTTGGGTAAGGGTGGATGTGTTGTGAGTGAAATTGTAGTTTAAGTTTTCTTTGTGTGACCTGAAGGTGGAATGGAAGTTATAATTAAGTGATGCGTCTGACCAGAACTCGCACAGGGCTTTTGATATATCATGTTTGTTTGTATAAGTGTCAGATGGGTTCCTGGGGTTAACAAGACAATGAATTTGGCTGTGGGTTTTGAGGCCACAGAATCTGTTGATTTTTTTCCATATTATTGGAATTGGGGTTTGTGAGTTTATGTCTGAGGTGAATTCGTATAGGGCTTTGCGTTTTTTTGATTTTATTTCTCGTTTTAGTATTGCGTTAGCTTTTTTATAAGCGATTATGTTAGTTGTGTTTATATTTTCGCACATGTGTCTCCAGGCTAATTTTTTATTGGTTTTTAGTACTTTCAGATCGTTGTCCCACCAGGGGACCTGTTTGGATACATGTATGTGGTATTGTGGTATGGATAAATGTGCGCTATGCCTAATTATAGAGCAGACGTGTGCTGTTTCTTGGTTTATATGTGTGCTGGGTGGTCTCTCGTCGGAAGATTGCTTACTAATTTTTTGGTACAGAGGCCAGTTGGCTTTATCTATATTAAACTTTGGTTTGGCGACGGGGGAGTCAGTTGTTTCGCTTTTAAAAAGTTCGATTGAAATCGGGAAGTGATCGCTTACTGAGAGTTGATTGTCAATTGTCCATTTCGAGTGTAAGGCTAATTCAGGTGAGGCAAGGGATAGGTCAATGTGTGTGAAGGTGTGGTGTGTAGTGAAGTGGGTGGGTGAGCCATTGTTTAGTGTTGTTAGCAAGGATTGGTTGATGAATTTAAACAGTAGGTTACCTCGTGGGTTATTACTCTGTGATCCCCAGCTTTTGTGCCAGCTGTTGAAATCACCAGTTATAAGA